GTTTTTCTTTTCTGGCATGGAAATTGAACTCTAAGGGATAAGAGAATATGAAAGAAATATAACATTTTGCACAAAATCTCCATTCACCACCACTATCTGCTTGGTGAACCTCTGTTCTCTTTTAAAACCTACATCATGTGTTGCCTCCTTCCAGAAGCCTCCCCATGTCCCCTTCTCCTCTAATATATTATAAAATTTTTCTAGCTGTCTTTGGTATTCATCTTCTGTTACGCTACACAATAATTTAAAAGAACATTTTCTCCACCCTAATAAACCATAAGACCACAGAAGGAGGAGTCAAGTGTCACCAGTGCTTGTCTGGGACCAAGCACATAGAAAGACTTAAATATTTTGTGAAAGAATGAATGATATTTTGATTTCTCCAAAGGATATTTATAAGTAAGCTAGAAAATACTAATTGTTTGGAGGCGGAATTGCATGCATACAAGTAAGATAGATACATTGAGTAACTTAGTAAAAATGATATCTCTGTTATAGCAAAATGTGGATAAAAGTATAAAATGGGATCCAGTATAGGTGTCAAGTCAAAACCCCTTCCTTTCTGGCAGAATGTAGGTGAAGATTTAGAAAATTGGCTGAAACTCACTTACCACATAGGTATTTTGTTATTATTTAATATAGTTAGCCATTTACAGTGTACACACAGGCCCAAAGCACCAGGCCAAGCACTATGGCAATAAATGAAAAAGATCTCCATCTAAACAGCTGCTATTAAAACATTCTTATGTGACTTGCCCCAAGCACTCGCTCAACTCACATCGTTTCCATTGATGCAAAGTGAAATCTATTGTAGATTATTTCCTGTTAGTACTGGAAACGTGTTTGTGCTTGTCGAAATCTGGCTCTACTGTCATTGCCACGGTTGCCCACACAGCATTTTGTTCATGCCTCTTGAGGGTGATTTTCATTTTATATTCTGGCTTTCTATATGTGTCTCTGTCTTCTAAAATAAGATCTGTAGAAAATTCCATCTCATTACCTGTAAATGCAGTTGTGTGGGAACACAGCCACACTCACACCATTATGTGTTGAATATGATTGCTGTTGCATTACAATTAGTGGAATCAAGGAATTGCAGCAGAGATCCTACAGCCCACAAAGCCAGAAATGTTTACTGTACTGCCCTTTATAGAAAAAGCTTGCTGACATCTGTTCTAATGTATTGAGAGATCCTTAAAGGAAAGAGTTATGTTTCATTCTTTTTGGTTTCAACTCAAACATCAGTAGTACATTTAATGGAATTAATGTACTGATGATTTAATGAATGTTTGAGTGCTCATTGGGCTGGACACAGTTCTAGGTGCTGAGGGTACCTCACCCAAAGAGCAAATTTCTGTTCTCGTAGAGTCTCTGTTCTAATGCTGATAACAATGGGGAGAGACAGAGCAGTGAACAACAAGTAATAGAATGAATGTGTCAGCAATAAATGTCATAGAGAAAAGCAAAATGAGATGGGGGAGAAGGATTGCCCAGTGGGCAGGTGATCATGGTGGTAGTAGAGGAATTAGGTTTATGTGAAAAGACCATGTGGGGGTAAGCAAAAGATGGGGAATGTTTGGCATGTTTGAGGACTCACCAGGAGGCCATGTGCCCACAGCAAAGCAAGCAAGAGGTAGTGTGGGAGAAAATGAGCTCGCTGTCTGAATTGGTTTTCTGGGGCTGGTTTTATCCTGGTGAATTTCTCTCTGAGGTGGGAAGCCTCTGGTGAAGGAGAAGCAGGATCTGACACGTTTTAACAAGGTCTGTGGCTTCAGAATGGAGGATAGATTATAAGGGGAAGTGTAAGTGTGAGCAGAAGCTAGGAGACAAGTTAGAAAATTCTTGCCATCTTGGAGATGGCACTGGGTTGGCCATGATAATGGTGGTGGTGATTACAACTCCAGATTCTGGCTTCTCAAGCCAGCTATTGAATGAGTGCATAAAATGCTGGCATTTCCTTTAGGGTACACACTGCACCTGCTTCTGGAAATTCTTATGACACCACTCTGGGATGGAATCCTAGCATTTGTACTAAAAATACAATTATCATGCTGTATTTGTTTCTGTGCTGGACTTATTTCATTGTTTCACTCAACATAATGTCCCCCAACTCCATCCATGTTGCTGCAGATGATAGTGAAGTAGGACAGAAGAGGATGGATATCCAAGGAATTTTCAGGAAGCAGGTTTATTGACTATAGGGTTCAGAGGTAGCTCTCACCTAAGAATTCTTCCTCTGAACAAAGATTTTGGAAAATTTTTTGAACTTTATACCCACTGAGGTTGGGCTTGGAGGTTCACATGACACATGATCTCTGTTCCATCCCCTAGACTACACTTAGGTTTCATGAGTTTTTACCAAGAAAACAGAGATAATATCTTTTTGTACAACAAGCTTACAAACTAACTCTGTCACGTCTTTTGTGTGCAAACCTGGCATTTACAAGAAAGAGGAAACTACCAACCACAATAACCTCTGCAGATATCTTGCTGATATGACCAGAGGAGAAGCTTAATTATGGCAAAATTCTTTGGAGTGGGGGTACCCAGTCTACTTCAATAGGATTCATTCTTTTTCCCCCTTTTTGTGGCTGAATAATATTCCATCATGTCTATGAGCCACATTTCTTTATCCACTCAGCTTACGGGCACTTATGCTGATTTTATATCTTGGCTATTATGAATAGTGCTGCAATGAACATAGGGGTGAAAATGTTTTCTTGACCTACTGATTTCATTTCCTTTGAATACCTAGTAGTGGGATTGCTGGGTCATATGGTAGGTCTACTTTCAGGGTTTTTTTTTGAAAAAACTTCATACTGCTTTTCCATGTATCAAATGATAATGCTGTACCCATAAATAGGTACAAACAGTGTATGTTAATTAAAAATAAAAATTAAATGAAAAAATTAACAGCACAGTTACCATAGCTCTCTAGACATAATCTGATACTCCCCCCTCTGTGGAGATACATCAGTAGGTGTTCTTGTCTTTACCTGAGAACAAAGCAGAGCAAAAGGTTACATTTTCCCCTGCAATTTCTATGCTTCTTATAGGAAGGGAGAAGAAATTTGATTTGAAGATAATTCTTTTTCCATGATTAACTAAAATAATATTTAATAGGTAAAAACAAAATAACAATGTAAAAAAAACCTTTCAATTTCCTATGAGCCATCTATAGGAGAGTTGGCTGGGATGAAGTAGAATGATTAAGTTTGTTACAACAATAGTCTTATGGTTTCTATTGCAGGCTGTGGAACAATGATTATGTTTTAATATTTCAAATTGTGGGTACTCCTTTATTCTTTCTTATGTAGTAAATATTAGTAAATGGTTGAAAATTTTTTTAAAGCTCCTGGGGTTTTAGGAAACCAGTAGCTTTTTAATTTTTAACAGGTTCAGGACATACTTTCCACTTTTAATGATCATTTACCATTCAGTTGGTAGCAAGATGAGCATCACATGGCATTTTGGACGGATGATGTTTCAGAGAAGGTCAGGGTATTCTAGAAATTGTGAATTTGGTAAATAAGCAGAGGTGTGAATACAAATGATGGATTGTCAGAATCACTAAACATAGCTTTGGACATGAAGCCTCCCCATAAATCTGGTGGGGGGGGGCCCTCCCCCTCCCCTTGCAAGTAATTTGAACTTTCCGACCACTGGGTGAGCTGCACTGTTCTCCCACAGCCTGCAGTGGGCTGCATCTAATATGCCCGCCAGTGCTCCGCAGACCTCTGCTAATGGTCTTGAAAGGGAGAAGGTTCAAAGAGGCTTGGTTCCCAGGCCTGCTAATGAGCATGAGGCCTCTTCACCCTAATGAACCAGGGCTTGTGTGGGATTTTTTGCCCTCCCTTTTTGAAGGCAAGGCAGGCGGGAGCTCACAAAAGCAGCAAGGTCTTTATGGCGAGGGGAGTGTGCAGCTGGGCCACCCCAAGGTGGCCTGGAGGGGAGCAACAAAGCTGACGGAGGTCGTGTCCAGGCCAGCACAGTTATGAGTGTGAGGCGGGACCTCCTGCCAGCTTGGCCTGTTGCTGGCAGCAATGACAAGTCCGCAGTGGGAGATTTCAGACCAGGAGGGCTACACAGGTCGCTCAACAGCCCTTGCAAGCCTTCTTAAATTGCTTTTTAAGCTGCATTTGTTATCATTGTTAAAACTTATCAAATGAATATGATAACCACCAAAATCCTTGTTCTAATTAGCTAAATTGTTGTTCTAAATATTAACCATTGGTACCAAAGCTCACTGTAGCGGCCAAAACGTCCTCCAGATATTTTTATCTCTCTCTGCCCACCCACGTCCAACTGCACGATTAAACAATAGAATTATTCAGAAAAGTAACAAACACATGCCAAAAATATTGCCTTTGTCACAATCATCTTTGTGGAAGTCAAAGTTTTTCTCACGAATAGATTTAGAAAATGACATCCTGTATTTAAACCAGAATTATTTCTACTGAAATATGTGCATTTGATTTCACCTATGCTCAATGCCCATTTCTGCAGTGACTGCTTCTTTACTATTAGAAAGCCTGGTTTGGTATTGCAGCGTAAAAGTCCTTAAAACACATGTATTGTAATATGTAACTTTATAAATTCAAAGTTATAAATGACTATAGTTTCATAATGAATATTTCTACGTTTTAATTTTCAATCAAGGTTAAAGCCTGGCTGTGACACAATACAATTTTTTCTGATTAAACACAGGTTATGAAAATTACAAGTTTTAATTACTTGCCAGTTTGGAGTGAGGCCTTTTAAGAACCAAACTGAAAAACAAATTGCCACTTTCAGTTACTGGAAATTTGAGCAAACGTTACAATGTCCTCTTCCCCCCATGCCCCCCCAATAGAGAGAGAGAAGAGAAGAGACTTGGAATGTACACACACATTTACCCTTCCATGACCTGTGTTTGGAATTATTCTGAGATGCATTCAAAGCTGACAGCCCCCCATGGCTGACCCCCTCGTGCCTAATCAAATCTTGCGTTCTGTTTCCAGATAGCTGATCAGCTTCCTTGGATTTTGATGACACCAGCGAGCTTTGCCTGAAGATGGAAACACTGGAGTCGGAACTGACCTGCCCTATTTGTCTGGAGCTCTTTGAGGACCCTCTCCTGCTGCCCTGCGCACACAGCCTCTGCTTCAACTGCGCCCACCGCATCTTGGTGTCACACTGTGCCACCAACGAGTCTGTGGAGTCCATCAGCGCCTTCCAGTGCCCCACCTGCCGGCATGTCATCACGCTCAGCCAGCGAGGTCTAGACGGGCTCAAGCGCAACGTCACCCTGCAGAACATCATCGACAGGTTCCAGAAAGCGTCAGTGAGCGGGCCTAATTCCCCCAGTGAGACCCGTCGGGAGCGGGCCTTTGATACCAGCACCATGTCTTCTGCTGAGAAGGTCCTCTGCCAGTTCTGTGACCAGGATCCTGCCCAGGACGCGGTGAAGACCTGTGTCACTTGTGAAGTGTCCTACTGTGATGAGTGCCTGAAAGCCACTCACCCGAACAAGAAGCCCTTTACAGGCCATCGTCTGATTGAGCCAATCCCGGACTCGCACATCCGGGGGCTGATGTGCCTGGAGCACGAGGATGAGAAGGTGAATATGTACTGTGTGACCGATGACCAGTTAATCTGTGCCTTGTGTAAACTGGTTGGGCGGCACCGCGATCATCAGGTGGCAGCTTTGAGTGAGCGCTATGACAAATTGAAGGTTAGTCCGATCCGCCTTAAGCCAACCCCTTTCTGCCAGCAAATGTCATGGAAATAAGAAGTGTATTCACTGCTAGCTACATGGCAGGTGAAGGTTTTCTCTTCACCTTTGTTATCTGATTAGTTTTAGCATGTTTTTGGCAGCCTATAAATGTTACACAATAAGGGTATCTTGTAAAAGTTGACTGCTGCTTGTAATTTTAGCGTTGTCAAGGTGAGGGTGAATTCTAAAAATCTGGATCATTTTCAATCCTTGCAGTTTTTCTGGATCATTTTCAATCTTTGCAGTTCTTGCTAAGAGAGTGCTGCTTTGAGAGACAGTACGCGAGCAAGAACGAGAAAATGAGCGCAAAAAGAATTGGCTGATAGAATCTGGCTGTGGGCATTTGCGGGGCATTTATTTTCTTCACTCATCTGGGAAAACTAATTCACTGTCATTGTACCTATATCTAGTTACTACACAAACAAAAGAATAGAAGAAGGAATGTCTGTAGCAAATGTGGGATTTTAGAGGACACGTGACCTTTTCTTCTTGTCTAAATGATATCCAGCTTATTGGTTAACTAGAGCACTCTGACAAATCTCAGGTTTCATGAAAGAATTCCTTTCCACGTAGGCGCTTTATTCCGCGAAGTTACAGGCAAGACTGTTTGAACTTAACTTTTAATATGAAATTATTACCCTAATTCCAGCTTGGGGGCTAATAATTAATATGACTATATGTCAAATAAAAAAATCACTCTCTAAATATGGCTAGAAAGCACCAGGGAAGAAATAAAAAGCTGTCTCCAGATGTCTGTTCAACTTTAGGCAACCGTGGGGCTAATTATTGAAAACTCAGCTGAGAGAGTTGGAGGGAGAGACTGTGTTCACCAGCTAATTTTAGATCACAAGACACCAATTAAAAGGAAAGGAAGTATAAATTAAAGCTCTCAGTAAATATATACTGAAGTCCTTCCTCTCAGGAAAAACACATACCAAGTGGTTGAGCAAACAAAATGAATCATGTGATCCAAAGAGTATTATCACTTGGAGAACTTCGTCACCTTTAACAAATGGTTCCTATCACTTCTCCTTAGCACTAATGGGTGGTTGTGTTTACTTGGGGCACAGTTTGTGATGGTGGAATTAACAGATCACATCTGGGATTTGACTTGGCTATTTTCTTGACACACTGAGGGAAGATGACAGACTGAAGTGAATCCCTGCTTTTAAATGTCACTTGGGCAACAAAAGCATCACCTGGGCAGTGTGCTTAATTTCAAGTGTCCAAAGAGTGACTGGCACAGATCCATCTTTAAACCATGTACAGGAAGTTAAGTAAAAGGGTTAAGGTGACAAATAAAAGTGGAGAAAGGTACCCGTATTTTTTTAGTGCTTTGCACGGCCGTAGCAGAAAAAAGTACTACCGAAGTCATTAATCGCAAAGGCGACGCATGCATGAATTGTGCTTCTAAAGTTAGTTCTTCAAAAATCGATATGACTGCAATTTTTAAAAGCCAAGGTGATCTTTTGTAACCCCCTTCTTTGTTGTTGGGAGGGGAGGAGGTTCAGGATCATTGAACAGAGATGTTTGATCTTTGTTTTCCTATAGTAAACATCCCAAACCTTTCCCCTCATTTATAAAAAAAATATGTTCCTTTGATTGGATTAATGCTATCTTTTAATGATTATTTGTTAAAACACTATAATCATAATGATGTTCCATATTCAAACAGACTTGATATTTAAATCTGGTAATCAAGTTCTGATGATTACTTGGGTACTGTCACAGCAGTTATTAGTTATTTACCTAACATCTTTAAATTTATGAAGAGAGACTGTCATACTCTAGTCTTTTTGTGATGAAAATGAAAATCTTCAATCATTGCTTGCCTAATCAAGCCAGTGGGTTATCGGTCCTTGGTGCTATCATAGGGAGGGCCTGACAATTAACAATGTAGTATATTTTATTTTCTAATTACATAAATATGAGCATATAAACAGCATCCAATGTGCCTAAATACATTTATAGCTATTCAACAAAATGTGCTTATGAGCAATTATTTACAGCCATTCAGCAAAATGTGTTTATGAGCATTTCAACAAATAACGTACTAGCATGGCATGTTTGTTCTGAAACATGCCACTGATGTTAGAATAAAAAAAACTAGAAGAATATAGGACATTTGGGTGAAATTTTAGTGATCACAGATGTATGAACATATGTACTTCCTTGTTTTGTTTAAAATCTCAGTACAATATAAATGTTGATTTTTGAAGGAAGTAATAGCATACTGAAAGAACCAAAACCAAGGAAGTGTGTTTTTGTTAATTGTGACTTTGGTTTGAAAGAGTAAATGCACTCTGTACACTTTTTCTGTAGTCCTGGGATCTCATAGAAATTTGTGATGATGTGAAAACATAGATGAAGCACAGAGATATTTGAGAATGCTTTCATTGACAAGATGATAGACTGACTTTAGTTATTTGGATGTAAGGACCCAGGTATCTTTGGCTTGAAAATATAGTTGTCCCTCTGTTAAAGTCCACTATACAAAGAGGGGAATCCTGCAATGATTATGAAGAATAATTATTTCCTTCAATAACACTAAGCTTTGGGGAACCTTCTTAAGATATATCAGATCTTGGTATAAGAGATATGTGTTTATATAAAATAAATGGAATATAGTTTTATATATCACAGTGTTTTCCTAAGCACAAAAGAAAAAAAAAAAAAGACAACATATTCCAACATGTAGAATTCATGCAAATCAAATCCTCCACATCGTCTGAAATAGTGTCATGTCAGTAGTCTAATGCTTTCAGAAACTGTGTGTTGAGAAGCACTCATGAAATATTGAACTAAATAGAAAATTAAAGTAGTATTTCCTGAACCCTATTTTAAGAAACGCCAAATGCAGTCTCTAAATGAAGCATATCAGAATACACAGAATACAGACTTTTTTTTCATTATTCAAATTGAATTTTAAGATGCCTCTCAATCCTCCAAATCATGGATTAAAATTTTGATTTGTGAAGTACATAACATATAAGAGAATTTCATATAATGTCTTCCAGAGTTTTCAAGGAATTACAATGAAGTAATAGCTCTTTTTCTCTTCTAGCATACTATGTTGGAACTCTTGATTCTTTTCTCTAGTTACACCTATAAAAATATAGCAGTGGAGAACAATTAACCTTTCTTTGCCCTTCACTTTCATCATAGCCCCTTCAAATGAGCTGAATTGAAGTTCTAAACCATGGTCTTTTTTTCTAACTCTAAAGGCTGGCTATAGGAGGGAGTTTGTTTAATACAGATTTCAATGGATCATCCTATTGTAATTTTTAAAACATATATATATTCTTAATATCTTTATTTTATTGTTTGTTTATTTTTTATGTGGCACTGAGGATCGAACCCAGTGCCTTGCACATGCTAGGTGAGTGCTCATACCGCTGAGCCACAACCCCAGCCCCTCCTATTGTAATTTTTAAATGATCTGGTCAAAATTTTCAGTTATATCTCAGCCTTCCTTATGTAGCGCTTGTCATCAGGAGGAAGACATGAGATTTCACTCCTTCTATTTTTTAATATGTTTATAATTTTTATGATCTATTGATTATAGATTTAAACAATTGATTTTATATGCATATTTTAGCTGTAGTTGGATACAGTATTTTATTTAACCCATATTTAGGTGGTGCTGAGGATCGAACCCAGCGCCTTGCACATGCTAGGAAAGCACTCTACTGCTGAGCCACAACCCCAGCCTCATTAAATTGTATTGATTTTTGAAAGTCTTTTCCAATTTGTAACTGTGAAAGTTTTAGTAGCTACTAAGATAGACCTTTTCTTTTTCCTTAAAAGAGTTTCTATAGCTGGTTACTTCTCTGTGAATAGCTGTAGATATTGTGCAGGTTCTAGTGTAAGATATGTGTGTGTGTGTGTGTGTGTAAGAGAGAGGTACAAATATACCTATAACATACATGTGTATGTATGCATACATTCATTTGTTTATTTATTTTAATATCAGAATTTTTCTGAATCCAAATTATATGGAGGCAAATTCAAGTGACCATTATTTCTTCTAGGCATATTTCATTCTGCAGGCAAGAGATGACGAAAAACAGAGCAATGTTAGCTATATCTGAAATATTTCATCTATTTTCTAAATGTTTGGTAGATGGGTAGAAGTTGTTTTTGAACTTGGTGTAGACTTAGAGGAAAGATTTTTTTTTTCTTTTTTTCTTTTCTTTGTATTTCAAAGTTCCAAGGATGAGAGGGGTTTTTTTGTTTTGTTTCTCGTTTTTTTGTTGTTGTTGTTGTTTGTTTGTTTGTTTTTGGTTTGTTTGTTTTGGTGCGGGGGATTGAACCCAGGGGTGCTTAACAACTGAACCACACCCCAGCACTTTTTATTTTTTATTTTGAGACAGGGTCTCACTAAAGTCCTTAGGGCCTTGATAAATTGCTAGGGCTGACTTTGAACTTGCGATCCTCCACTGAAATTACAGGCATGTGGTACCGTGCAAGGAAGCATAAGTATTTTTTTTTAAATGTATGTTTCTATTTATTGATTTCCAATTTAAATACCTTAAGATTGCTCAAGGCAATTGCATGTGGTCTTACTTATAAAACACTAGAATGACTATTAATTGTATCTTCAGGTTTTCCATAGCATAGCCTAATTGTTTTATTCTGCTTAATCAATTAATGACTTAGACAGGTACATTTAAACCTCTTACTAATAATGAAGATTTCTGGAAAGTGAAAATTTCAAGTTCTCATAATATTTTTTTTAAATTTACGACTTTTGAAGCTGTGTCTATAAGAATATGTAAGTTCATATAGTTTTTTTGAAATTATGAAAAATTAAGTTTAAATATGTTTATTAAGTGAAGAGAATATGAACAGAAATGGTCCCTGCCTTTATGCAGCTTATACTCTAGTAGAAAATTCTAACAGCCAAATATTTTCTCTGTTAGTGGAAGGCACATTGTTCTCAAAGCAAGGACACTGAC